CGGACTTGTCCCCCAGTAGGGTCTGCAGATTGCATACAGATTACGTTCGGGTCTTATTCAAAGTGTCCCAAACTTCGTCTTGGAAGACGCCCACCTTCTTAAGCGCAAGCTATTAACAGCCCGACGACCGTTTGTTATCTCTTCCAGAATGGCATCCGATGGTGCCCTGGGTGTGGATGTGCATGGGCCGGACAAGGTAAGAACGGGGTTGGACTGCGTCTGACTGAAGAACTGGCACCAATGGTGCACGTTTCTCACATTTACACCAAGTCGCGTTCCATGCCTGTTCTATTCCCAATGGTGTTAACCTTCTGCAGAAGCGTCAAAAGCTGGCAAAATTGACGGGGTTGGGCTTCGCCAGGGACATGGCCGAAGTCATCGTGGAAACGCTTGGGATGGACCCCATCGGGCAGTCGGCCGATGCCGGAGCAGGACTTCCTTGTGTTTGAGTTTGGTTAGCTATGGGACGCGACTTATAAGCAGAACTTCCTTGTGTTTGAGTTTGGTTAGCTATGGGACGCGACTTATAAGCAGAACTTCCTTGTGTTTGAGTTTGGTTAGCAATGGGACGCGACTTGCAAGCAGGACTTCCTTGTGTTTGAGTTTGGTTAGCTATGGGAAGCGACTTGCAAGCAGGACTTCCTTGTGTTTGAGTTTGGTTAGCTATGGGACGCGACTTGCAAGCAGAACTTCCTTGTGTTTGAGTTTGGTTAGCTATGGGACGCGACTTGCAAGCAGGACTTCCTTGTGTTTGAGTTTGGTTAGCTATGGGACGCGACTTGCAAGCAGAACTTCCTTGTGTTTGAGTTTGGTTAGCAATGGGACGCGACTTGCAAGCAGGACTTCCTTGTGTTTGAGTTTGGTTAGCTATGGGAAGCGACTTGCAAGCAGGACTTCCTTGTGTTTGAGTTTGGTTAGCTATGGGACGCGACTTGCAAGCAGAACTTCCTTGTGTTTGAGTTTGGTTAGCTATGGGAAGCGACTTGCAAGCAGAACTTCCTTGTGTTTGAGTTTGGTTAGCTATGGGACGCGACTTGCAAGCAGAACTTCCTTGTGTTTGAGTTTGGTTAGCTATGGGACGCGACTTGCAAGCAGAACTTCCTTGTGTTTGAGTTTGGTTAGCTATGGGAAGCGACTTGCAAGCAGAACTTCCTTGTGTTTGAGTTTGGTTAGCTATGGGACGCGACTTGCAAGCAGAACTTCCTTGTGTTTGAGTTTGGTTAGCTATGGGACGCGACTTATAAGCAGAACTTCCTTGTGTTTGAGTTTGGTTTCTATGGGAAGCGACTTGCAAGCAGG